TTTTGGCTCAAGAACAGGTAGTCATAAGATGATTATAAATTTCAGCTGGCAATTAAAAGATAGTTCCTAAGCACTGAGAAGCAAGGGGATTGAAACAGTCTCCCAACAAAAGAAACAGCACTACTAGCCACAGGCACACAAGCACACACAAAAACCTCCCCAAAATCTCAACAATTGTTTTCGACACAAACCCTGGTGTGCTCTTAAAAGGTCTCAGTGAAGGGATTGTCCATAATTAAGGAACTGGATTCAGGCGGCCCCTTCCAACTCTATGTGGTACAAGTCTGGTAACTGCATATCATGGAAGAATTATTGGCATTGATGGACTGGCTGAGGCAGTTAATTAGTTTACGAGCATCAAGAAACATTAACCTACTTTTGTAGTGCAAGAAAACGGGGAGAGGAAAAGGCAAGAAAAAACTGCAAGCTGCTTGCCCAGCAAGAGCAGCCAGCCATCTGTAGTCAGATATTCACTCCTCTGATCACATACCCATGGCACTACCTCAGGTCATGTCTTGGGAGACAGGGCTCAGAGACACGTTGAGAGTGCAGCACCAAAAGTATATTAAGATTATGATAACTGTGCCATCCATAAAAAGAGGAGGGGGGAAAGCCCTGACTGGCTTGAAATTGGAGTTGCAGTGAGCTGTGTGATGGTACAGGGGATATGCAGTATACGTAAGCCCCAATGCGCTGCTGTGTGCTCCACATGGACTCAAGGCTGCAGCCAGCCTACATCCACCTCTGGGAAACTATGACTGGGAACAGTCTCTGGCACCCACCCTGCTCCCACTTGCAGTGTAGATACATTCAAGAAAACATGATAAACATAAGCCAGCACTTTGGCTAACAAAGACTCTATCTGTGCATGTATGCTTTGCTGTGATTCCCAGGAATAAAACTAACAGTGTCAGCTTGGGAGAACAAGGGGTACAGATGAATGCAAAGATAGAAGGACAAATTTTGTGAGTGGAAAAGCACCAGTGGCTCCAGGAGGAGACCCCCGAGAAGCCCTGTGGGTTCTCTGTTTACAACCGCAACTGCAGTCGTATAACCTTGGCCTTTAAAGCCCACAGTGTCCAGATCCTTGATATCACAGAGGTAAGTGCAGTGGGAGAACAGGGGTTTGGGTCTACCATCAAGTTCTGGAGGGATTTTTTATGTTGTCAGATTTGAAGGCATATGTAAAGTGCTATTAGGCACCATAAGAAATACTGGAACTGCACCATGCACCACTCAGACTGGCTCCCTGGTTTTCTTTATCTCAGTTTCCAAAGGCACAGAAATCCAGGGGCAGCTAAAGTCAGAGGAAATTTTCTTCACAGATTTAAGCCCCTGGAATGCGTCTGCATGTGATTTAAAACCCATATATGTTTCTGCTTATTGTCTTCCTTATACCTGCCTAAGAATACATGTAGGTTTTTAAAGATTTTTATTGTTTATTTTAGTTACTTTTAATTTTCAGTACTTTTAATTATATTTACAACTCAGACAGAGATGCAGTAGCTTAATGTGTATTATCCCATTTAACTCACGACTCTCCTTGACATCTATGGAGAAGAGTCTGGCTGGAGGCAAGTGTGGAATTACCCAGTCTCATGCTTTACTCCTGTGTGGGACTGAGTATTCACATGGCTCTTGCAGACAGAGCAAGACGTTGCTGCACAATAAGGCTGAGGGGTCTACAGAGATTTCTGCAGATCACTACTGTTTGTTACCCACAGAAAAACGAAGGAAAAAAACATTAACGTGCTGAGATGGTAAACAATACAGGTTTCCTGAGAGTCCTGAGCCTTTGCTGGTATCTTAGTCCTTCTCCCAGCCACAGAGCTGTCTCTAGTGTTTGTGGGGTGCATGCCACATGGTCACAGCAGCAGGGAAGAGCTGTGGTTGAGCTGGTGCAGGGAAACCGCAGAGCCCCTCTTGCCCGCGGGCTGGATGAGGCGAGCTGCATCGCACCAGCCTTCCTCAGCATGTGGAAACACCGGGCACGTCTGTGCCTCCGCCTCGCCTCTGCCACCAGCCCCAGGAGTGGCACCAGCGGGCGGACGCGGTGGGAGCACAGCACAGTGCTGCTGTGCGAGCCCACGGGTGAGAAAAGCCTCTCCAAATGAGTCACACAATGGGTTTCGTGCTGGCTTGGGTTATTCGTAATCATCTGAGCCTGACTGCTCAGCTCCTCCAACAGCTACAATCCTGATACGGTATTTGTAAGGTGAATCTGAGGTGCCTTTGATGGCTGCTTGGCCACACAAACCCAAGTAAGAAAAAGCACAGCTCTGGAAGAAGATGGTGGCAGAGCAGGTGTGGAAAGATAAATGCTAAAATGCTCAGTCTGATTTAAAACAGCATGCAGCTTGCATGAAAGGTTTCGGTTTCTTAATTTGAAAGTATGGGAGGGAAAACAAAGAAGTTAGGCGTGTGATATGGCCAGGGCTGCTCATCAGGCAGAGGCCAGAGGAATTCAGTTCATTTCTCTCCTGCTAAGAGCTGAACTCTTCCAGGACCTAGAATTCAGCTCACAGGTTAGTATCACACGTTCTTCAAGGCACTGGAAAGTTCCTGTCGGTGTTAAGTGCACATTAAAAGAGTGGCATGGAGGCCTCCAAAACTATTATGGGAAATGGGAACAGGGCTCCACTTTGCAGCCAGAAGGCCCCAGCTGCAGGCAGGTTAGTTCAGCAAGCCCCAGCTAAATCTTGTAATTTGATAAATAGCCCCAACTCTTTTTGTCCACATGGACATGGCAATCATTTTTTCAGTATGAGCTCTGTAAGAACCTAAGAAACTGCTGACCTCTGTGTTGGGCAGCAGCTGTAGGATATCCTCCATGCAAGCCTCTTTGGAGCAAAGACAGCCCCTCATGGGCTGCCTGCCAGGGGCCGTGCAAAGGGACATGGAATCATAGACTGATCATAAAGTTGGAAAGGGCAGGGAATGAGGGATGGAGGAGCAGATAAGGAGAATGTAGCATCTGAAGAGATCTCCAGGTTCTTCATGACTAAACAATCATTAGTTTGGTTATGAAGAACTCTCTCACCCTTCGCCCACAGCCGGAAGACTCTACAACAGCAGGAACCATTTGTGAAACCTCTCCATGGAAGGTCAACATACTGTCTGATGTGCTTTTGTTTCACCTTCCCCACCACCCCCACAAACTGAAAACTGAGCATTGAGTTTATTTAAGAATCTTTACTCTTTTTGTTTTTCCAATTTAAATTATACTTCCGAAATACAAGTAAAAAAAAAAAAGAAACAAACCAAAACCAAAACACCTCACAATGAAACGTTGCTAATTTCTACAAAATAGTCTACACAATAATGCACTTACATCATTTACACAATTTACCTTCACAATAAAATAGGAGAGCTTAGATCGGTATTTACATATCGACAGAGAATGTGGTGATGCAGCCATCTGCTTCTGGTGCTGTGTCCTGCTGGAGTGCCTTTGGGAGACTCCAGCCTGCTGCTGCACACAAATCCCTCTGCAGGAGAAAGCCCTGCCAGAGTCTTTCTAGGTGCAGGGACCTGCCCATAGTGTGCCAAAGAGACCAAAATAGTGGCAAATACTTGCTTTTTCATCTTAAACCTGCCACTGTAGCACATGAGCATGCATCAATGAGTTATTTAAGGAATTCCCTGATACAGAATTTTGCTTTGCTATATTAGGCACTTCGTTGGAAAGATTATTTATTATGGCTTATGCAAAACAATTCACTTTCCTCAGGATATGTACTTGCTAGAGTCAGTGGGACAGAGACATGTCCAAGGGCACACTTTGAGCCAATGTTTTGGGTTAGCCTGCGTTAGAAATTTAGATCATATTACTTAACGAGTCCTGAAAGAAGTGATTTATCAAGACCTGAGCTTTTCAGCAAGTCAAGAAGTCAGTGTATTCTAAAGCTTGGTATATCTACATTTTTCCCCAAAATCATTAGTAGCTAGAGCTTTCCCTCTTACAATAAGTTAACTACTTACATCCATGCTGTTCAGTGTGCCATTGGGTGACATATCCCAAGCATGATTGATTGTCTTAAAGGAGTACACCATAGGTTGAGGGATTATTTACATATCTTAACATGTAGAAATTAAAGCTGTAATTTACCAAATAATAAATATAGATCAACAGGGTACAATACTGAAATAAAATAAATTAGAATGATTCTCCAGGTGTTGAGTTCCCTCCCTTAAGGCCTGAGCCAGAGACCATAAAAAGAGTGATGTTTTTTCAATGGCTCAGAAAGGTTTAGGATAGGGCTCCTAATTAGACACTGGCTGTTTGAAATTAAATATTTAGCTAAGATGACAGATATTTGAAATCTATATGATCGAACAGCAAAAGTTACCTCTAAAAGGAGTCTTTTGTGTAAAACAATTTAGACCAAACATTAATACTGCATTTATTAGTAAGAATATAGTTCTTGCAGATTGTCTCGACGTTAATTCAGCAGCAAGGAAATAAGCATACAGTTAAGAACACAACGTATTTGTAAAGCAAATACGTGTTAGTGCACATGATTTTCCAAAATACTTCACTCCTCAGCTACATTTGTGCATATTTCAGAATGCTTCTAACTAGAGGGTTAATAAAAATCTTCTCATGACTATAGCTAAATTTGCCATTAAAAAAACATTAACCGAAAAACAGTTAGGAGTAACTTAAGAACAACGCCAAACTTCAGGTCCAAATATATCAGAACGCTGAGAAATTTGAAATCTAAATTAAATTCTTAAAACTTAGGTCTATAAAATTAAAAAAAAAAAAGTATTAAAAGCAGTGAATCTGCTCTCAGAATTGCACGCTCACCAGGTTTGTAAACTCTACGTGAAGTCAGTGAGGCACTGTTCACTGTAAGAGGTATAATGTAGATGCTCTATGCAAAGCAGTGCAGATGCTTTGTAATTTACTTCATGCCTTCTTTTTCTCTTCCTTGAGGATTAAGCATTTAAAGTAATTCAGTAGCTAAAAAGTCTGTCTTATAGGAAAAGGCCTGGGCTTACATGGAAGGGGGGGTGACGGGTGTCCACGTGGATGCCAGCCTGGCATGTGTGGAGGCATCGTACTGGCTGTCGGGCAGGTCAGAGGGTGCCCCACCATCGTACAGCGGGGAGGCAGAGGAGGCAGCAGTGACCGGGTGCGGGAGGGCAGTGTAGTGTGCTGGAGAGCCACGTAGAAACTGGGAGCTCAGGCCGTTGGACATCCCACTCGACTGAGACACCGGCGTGATGGTGCTGTTACTCACAGACCATAGGTTGGGATACTGACTGCAAGAGGGAAAGTGGTAAATAAAACAAGTTGTTAGTGACTCCAGTGCCCACTGGAAGTTGCTCAGGTCATAGCACAGCCCCCAGGCTGGGTCTGTTTGCTGGAGACCGTGAATTCCTTTAGGAGGTTCTCAGCCATTGTGAAGTAACAAAGACCCCCCCAGGCAGGATTCATGTTCATGGCACCCCACCAGTAAATCTAACCTCCCTGCTTTGCAAGGTTCTAGCATTAGCTATACTAGCAAATTTTAAGTCAAGCTGGGGAATGAACAGGCTGGTTGAAAAATGCAGAGGCTTGAGAGCTAATCCCTGAACCACACCGTACCCTTGCATGTGGTGGAAGTGCCTGGGCAAGGCAGCTACTGGACCCAGGCATGTTTGAATCCATTGCCGTGAGTCTGTCAAAGCCCTTCGGTGCCTCTGTAGTCAGAGAGGGATTGATGCCTCCAGACAGCAACTCAGCCCCTTCATTTCATCGTCTCACGTTAGAAGGGGAAGAGCCAGACTGTTGGCTGCAGATTGCATGGATACTACAGAAAAGGGCAGCTTGAAAGGAAAGAAAAAATCCTTGTCAGGACACTACAGCCTCTACGTTATGTCCTTTGAGTACGTATATACATACATGCATACATATAAATATATAAATAAAAAGAAACAAGGTGATTGAAAAGAAACTATGAGAAAAAGTTCTGTCCTGCCATGTAATACTACACACTGCTTTCTACCTATTGATCCCAAGCAGTTTAACATGAAAGATAAATATTATTTTTACTTTACAGATAGGGGTTTAGCACAAGGGGTAGCAGAAATGCCTTCCCTGAGGTCCCACAGTTCAGGTTCTACTGGTTTTATCTACTGGACAACTCAGTCAGCAACTGAAACCCAGTGGACTTTGCAACTTTCCAAATGGGTATCCTGGAGGTCAGACATAGAAAGAAGTGCTAGAAGGACCTGTTTACTTGATTAACATATACCTGGGAATAAAACTTATGTTCAGTAATACAGTTACCTTATTTATCTTATACCGGCTGGTAGTACATATTCTGATTCACAGCTAAATGCCTTGTGCATGATTCAAATAAGAATGCTTTCCACAAACAGAGTGGTAGGTCTGAGTTGCTGAGAAAGACGCCCAAGTCTCAGCCCTCTGTGGTGAATACCAAAGATTTTACCACCTTATCTGCATCTCTTTGAATTTTCCAATTTAACTCCAAGGGACTGACTGGAAGCTAAACCTCTGCTACAGGATGCAAAAATTTAATTAAGATAATTAGTACAAAGAGGAGAAAAAAGTACACTTATATGATCAAAAAATGGCAAAGGCTTTCATCACATGAGTAATCCCATACTGTGCTAGTTTTTGTGTCAATGCTTAAGTAAAGAATTACTGTCCCAAATGTCTGTTCCTTCTCCACACTACAGTTCACTGCCCCTTCATTTGTAACAGAACAAGGGTTTATGGTAGACGGCTGGAAAAGCAGTGACTGCCTAAAATGAAACAGGTCAAAACTAAACTCTTCTAACACCATTTTGCTTGAAAAAGATGTAACTTAAAAGAACTCCCTCAAAGAATATTTTTCTATTCCTTAATCTATCAAATACTGTTGCCACAAGTATCTACATTTCCCAAACCAAAACCTAGAAAAAAAAATAAAATAAAAATTATCTGTTTCTTCAATCTGTTTTCCTTCTTGTGAATGGTCTTTTTCAGCACCCCTCAGGTAGCTAATGATTCACATGCACATGTGGCCATAAGGATTTCTAATTTGCTGGTGACTACCTCCTTTTTCAGCCTTCTCTTCCTACGGAGTACCACTATACCAATCTGAGGGTTGCTGAGGGGTGGACTCCTACCTGGAGCTGGTAGCAGTGCTTGTGCTATGACTCATGGGCAGCATCGTTGTATGTGTGGGAACTCCTAGAGAAGACCAGTTGTCATGGGACTGCAGCATGGAAAGGCAGGCAGAGGAGTTATCGGCATAGGCTGCTGAGAAAACAAGCAAGCATTTAAACACACTAGAATCAGAACAAATAATAACCTTGTATTCAAACACCACGTATAGCTTTAAATCACGCTTCCCCATTGCTGCCTTGCAAAACGAAACCCAAATATACACACACACACACACACACACATACACGGAGAAAAATTGTGTCAGTCACCAGCTGTGTCAGCTTACACTCTCACTGGCATTGCCCCTGCTGATGTGTTATTTTGCTTGACTTGCAACTGCAAAGTCTTGCTTCTACGAAGGATCTATGGCCAAAAAGTTGTCTTCAAACCACCTGCTAATTCAGCATATGCTTCCTTCTTTGGTCAGTGGGAAGAGTCAGGCTCCTTACTTACACTGTCCCAGTCACTCTTCCAGGGTACCTTCTTTATCTCCATCATCTACACTGGCAGTAACAGCCTGGCAGCTCTGGATAACAAGCATATGCCTGAATCACACATCCCAGTTTTGAGCTGAGCATGAATCACAGGCTCTGAAGTTTGCCTTAGGCACCATCAGGAGTGATTGGACTGTGGCTTAAACTACTCAGCTTGTGACCAAAACTGACTGGCCAATGTGGCAGAAGTGCTGGGAAGCTATAAAGAGAATCTTATAAAAGCAAGAAAGAAGTTGCTGTGGCAGCTGGCTAAGGGAAGAAGAGGTTCCTTGCTGAGGACCAGGGAACAAGAAGGAACACCAGAGGTGTTTTGTTCTTTTATTCTGTTTCAAGTCCCAAAACTCCACAGAAAGCTAGCTTTTTGCTTTAAAATTAACTACAAAGCTGCACAGAGGACTGGTCAGCCTGGATTTAGAACCCTGTGTATTACTTCACAGTTCAAAATACTGAATATTTCTTTTAAATGGGCCCCTCCAATACCCATACAAGCTGAAGGACAACAATTATTACAGACCTTTATCAGAAGAAAAAAAAAAAAAGCCACTCTTAAAAATCTCCCCTCCCTTAAGTACGCTTGGCTTAGGCACTAAGCTTTGAGCTATTTGGCTGTACCTGAGCACAACTTAATACAACTTGAATAGCTCCACAGTTTACTGAGCTCCATATCGTTTCTGGCACATTCGTTGGGATCAGCCTTAATGCACTGGTGTTAACTACAGCAACAGACAAGTAAAACTGACAGAATCAGGCCCTCAGTTATTATGTGTTAATAACAAATGAGACTGACAGAACCAGACATACACTTCTTCATTTCATTGTTATATTACCTTTAATAATGATTAAAATACTCAATTTCAAATAAAGAATAGGCAAAGTAAGTTTAAGCTCACTGGTTTTAAGGAGTGCAAGATAAAGCCAGCACAAATCACCAAATAGCATGAGACAGTTCTACACATGCCCAGTTTTTCCATCATAAAGAGACTAGGGACATGTACTCATCATCCCTATGTCTTTGCAATGCTGGCCCCGAGACCGCTGCACAAACTGAGCCAGATGGCAACCTCAGTTTCTGTGGCATGGCTCAAGATGCCCACTGCTCAAAGCTCACATCCCTCGGCTCATTTCCCATCTTTTTACAGAGCTGCAACGTCAGACTTACTTGGTGAGTTGTTTCTATGGGTGTAGGGGTTGGGGTAGGGGGCAGGACGGTGGTTCCTCAGCGATGAGTACCTTTCACAGCTGTGAGCAGGGGAGAGCGACAGGGGGGCTCCAAACTGAGGGTGAGGATTGGCAGGTGGGCACAGAGCCCCAGTCCCAGGAATAAGCCAACTACCTACTGTGGGGAAGCAAGAGGTTTGTAAGATTGGGACATAATGCAGCCAGGCAGGGAAAGAATCACAGCAATGAGATAAATAATTCATAGAATCATTGAATAGTTTGGGTTTGAATGGACTCCTAAAGGTCATCTAGTCCAACCTCCCTGCAATGAAGAGGGACATCTTCAACTAGATCAGGCTGCCCAGAACCACATCCAATCTGATCTTAAATATCTCCAGGATGGTGCATTTACCACCTCTCTGGGCAACCTCTGCCTGTGTTTCACCACCCTCAATGTAAAGAACTTCTTCCTCACATCCAGCCTGAATCTCCCCTCTTCTAAGTTAAGACCATTTCCCCTCATCCTGTCACAAGAGACTGCTAAAAAGTCTCTCCCCATCTTTCTTACAGGCCCCTTTTAAGTCTCTCCAGAGTCTTCTCTTCTCCCGGCTGAACAACCCCAACTCTCTCAGCATTTCCTCATAGGAGATAATAATTGATCAGTGAGGAAACACACACTCAGGAAAAGCAACAGTTTCAATATGGCTCAAAACCCTGGGTCTTTACAGCTTTCTTATATGATCTTATGGAGGAAAATTAGACAACAGCTTAGAAAACTCCCCATGTCAAACTAACATTATTTTTAAGGTACTATTTAATTACAATCACACTAAGGAAACACTGAAATGGTTAAACCCTCCCTTACGTAGGTAGTGTGTGCTCAGTAATTGTTAGTGTTATCTTCAGTTTTAAATTGCTCTGAGGGGGTCTCCATAGCTAAGCTCTGAGGTTTCACAAGCTGCTAAGAAGAACTCTTAAAACTGAACTATTTTCACTGAAACAAAATAATTCCTACTGCAAGTCAACAGCCGTAGGAATCCCCCTGTTACAGGCTGCAGACATTTTTGGCAATAAACTGTTAAAACAGGAATAATGACAACACTAATGCTTTTTATCCATCTGAAACACAAATATTTTAAGCAAATGCCCCTAAAGTACTTAAAAAATATGTGCCATTTCAGTGATTTTCTGCTGTAGTTTGAAATAAAATTTTGACTCCATATCCATATGAATGTTGCTGTCCTTGTATACAGAGGCAGCTGTCTTTTTGGACATGTAGGTAACGGCAAGCTTCTATGAAAGGGTTTTGAATGTAATACAGAAGTCCTAACCACACAAACATAGATTGTGATGTTTATACAATCATAAACCTACATGAACCATAATCATAAGGATTGGAAATATTGTTCTCCCTACGAATTAATAACCCAGCCAGCAAAACACTGCTCTTGAAGTTTTGCTTAACTTAACAGATGAGATGGAAGAAACCAAAGTTACGTTCACGATGCAGAATGAAAGGAAACATACACTGTGAATACCCAGACTGCTGGTTGTCTCCCACTTCCTCCATCATGTCTTTGTGATCACTTCTAGAAAAGAAACCATCTTGTATTAGTTAGGAATATGCTTTTACAAATATATGTAAAAAATCCAGGCTTTAGAATTAAGAGCTCTCACCTTTCTTTTGCATCAAGAAATGCCTTTGCAAACGGATTGTATTTAATTTTTAAAGCTGTAATCTAAAAACAACAACAAACATCTTTATTTGCAAGTATCACCATTCATTACCATACAGATACTAGCATTTTAATTAGGAACCCATTGAAATTAGTGAAATCCCAGATTTTTTAATAAGAGTAGACACATAATACCAACCTATGAACATCAATTAAACAGCCTTTAAGGTCTGAACTATTAGCAGAGAGTTCAGAATTAATCCCTCTGCCAAATTCTAAGACACTGAATTGCCTGGTTTTATTGATCAGCTAAGGAAATAGCTAAGAAAAGTGGTGCACTAAAGAGTTATAAAAAGCTTCACATTTCAAGCCAGAGCAGAATGGCCATCAGAAAAAAAAAAAAAAAAGAAGAAAAAAAGCAAAAGCAAAAACAAAACCAAAACCAAACAAACAAAACCAAAACCAAAAAACCAACAAAGCCTCTAAATCTCAAAATTATTGATAGTTTAGAGATACATTAAACATAAATGTGCATTTTGGCCAAGAGAGAGAGGCCCGTTTTGAAAACGGCACATCCAGTTGTTTCACTGTGTAGCTGAAAATGGCAACTGGATTTGTTACCATACCTGTTTGCCCCATAGAACCTTTTAAGGATTACTCTCCTGCAGTACATGTTGAGACAAACAGTGATCAGAACTCTGTGTTATGATATATTCACCAGGCTTTTACATATATTAACTTCACGTCTTATATTTAGCTTCAGACAAAGCACAGAAGGAACAGAGAAAAATGCAGAACAAGCCATTTATTTTTTGCTCTGTAACATGCACTTTGCCACTTGAAACCCCCTGGTACTTGCATCCTCTCTTCCCTGCTGTGCTTACCTCCTCGTTCTGGTAGGCCGTCACGGCTATAAATTGGGTTTCTGGGAAGGAATGGCTGGTGATCATCCGCTGCGGGCCACCCACTCGCACTATGTGGATCCTGGGCTCATACTTGTGCAGAGAGTTCAACATAATCTGTGAGCAAAGGGATAGAACATGTGAGTGGTGACAGAGTGGTGGCAGATGAGGTAGGCACAGACAGCACTCAGGGTTTAAAGTATCTAATGATCTGTCTTTCCAGTGGAAGAGAAAGAGGCAATAGACAAGAACAAACCCTAAAAACGAAGCTGTAAGAAAAGCTGTAAGCACTGCTGTCAGACACTCCAACTTTGTGCTTAGTTATACTCATCCCTGTTACTTGACAGGCAGCTTGTATAGACAAAAACACGTTGGCTGCAAATAGCCAGAAAGGTGCGTCTGCTGCTCCGTTGGAATTAGCAGCTATTCAGAGTGGAAAGACATGCAACAAAAAGGAAGTCAAAACCCGAAGTCACCCATCCTCGGCAGAAAGACCAGCTCTGCTGACAGAACGCATGTTCGGTAGCAGCGGTATAAAAACGAGCACTTAGGAGGGCGGAAGCAGTGGCTCGGCAGGACCCCGCCGCCCCTTAGGGTCTGGCCGGGCTGGTCCAACCGCGCTGTGCGGGTCCTTACCTGCCCGCCGCCGTTGAGCTTGTTGGTGAGTTTGACTTTGCTGAAGGAGACGGGCGCCTTCATCCAGTGCGCGCCGAAGTTGGGCGAGTCGGGGT